GGAGTGAGAAGGAGACCGACCTCCTTCTTACCTTCAATACTTCTTTCTCAAACCTGGGATTACATTGTCTCTCGATCGCGGTGCAAGATGAGGGAAGGAAGAGAGGGAGGAGGGAGAAAGGGAAAGACGAGAGAATGGATGAGGGAAGGAAGGAGGGGAGGAGGAAGGAGGGGAAGAGGGAGAATGGGATGAAGAGAGAATGAATGAGGGACGCACCCTTCTCCTTACTCCTATCTCTAATATTTCCTCTCATCTCTCTATCTCCCCTCGTTCATGGCGTAAGGGGAAGGTCAGAAGGAAGGAGGAGAGAGAGAGAGAGAGAGAGAGAGAGAGAGAGAGAGAGAGAGAGAGAGAGAGAGAGAGAGAGAGAGAGAGAGAGAGAGATAGAGAGAGATAGGAATGGAGAGAGATAGAGAGAGATAGGAATGGAGAGATAAAGCTATAAACCAAGTAATAATCATAATACCAACGATACTTATAGTTACATTTAACAATAACAACAATAACAATAAGAACAATTATCCAAAAAAAGCAAAACAATGATAAGAACAACATTTTTTTTACCGATTACGATAATTATAGCCCCCTTTCTTCTCCCCTCCCCCTTCTCCCATCACCCCCCACAGACGTACCCGGGTCACCTCATGGGCTGCGGGTATCGCAAAGAGGGTCCCGATACCTCGTCGTGTCCTGGCTGGCGCCCACGACCACCCACACGCCCGTCGATACCTACATTGTGCAATACCGACCTGCTAGAGGTGAGTTGCGACCGTGTTAATTTTTTTTTCTATGGGTGTATGTGTGTTTGTGTGTGGGGGGTTGCATGTGTATGTGTTTGTGTGTGTGTGTGTGTGCTCGTGTGTGTGTGTGTGTGTGTGTGTGTGTGTTTGTTTGTTGCATGTATGTGTGTTCGTGTGTTGTGTGTTGTTTGTGTGTTCATGTGTGTGTGTGTGTGTGTTGCATGTGTGTGTGTGTTTGTTGCATGTGTGTGTGTTCATGTGTGTGTGTGCGTGTGTGTGAATGTGTGTTTGCGTGTGTGTGGCGATATTATGTGCACGTATGGGTGTATGGCAGCGTTTGCTTGCGTGCTCATAATCACAGTTGAGACTACCGTCCTATTTCTCTTTTTTATTCTAATATTGGTCATCATTATGTCATCATCCTGTCACCACCAGCATCAGCATTACTGCCATCTGTCCCACCACACTCACTATCATCACCATACCCGCCAACACCACCACCACTACTACTGACACATTCACCACCATCCCCCTCACCACCACGACCACTACCGAGACCACCACTACCACTAAATCACCACTACACCAAGCACCATACACACTACCCTCACCATCAAGACTAGATCACCGCTACACGAACCACCATACCCACTACCCTCACCACCACAATACCACTACCACTACCAGACCAGATCACCACTATACCAACCACAATATCCACTACCCTCCCACCACCTCACCATCATACCAACCCCCACGCCCACCCTACCCGCCACCCTCACGATCACGCCCACACCCACAGGGACATGGAACGACGGCCAGAAGGAGGACGTGGGCGGTGACACCACGACGGCCCGCCTCTCCCCCCTGGTCCCCGACACCCAGTACCTGGTGAGGGTGCTGGCGGCCAACCACCTGGGAGCGTCGCCGCACTCGGAGCCCCTTCAGGTGAGTCTCCTGCGGCAGGTGACTGTTGGGGGAAGCTGCAGCTGTTGGGGAAAGCTGCTGTTGGGGAAGCTGATGCTGAGGCTGTTTTCTTTCCGCAGATGTTGGCTGGTCGCTTTGGTGTTACTTTGCTGCGTCAGGTTCCTTTGTTTATATATATATATATATATATATATATATATATATATATATATATATATATATATATATATATATATAGAGAGAGAGAGAGAGAGAGAGAGAGAGAGAGAGAGAGAGAGAGAGAGAGAGAGAGAGGAGAGAGAGAGAGAGAGATGTATTTATGTATGTATGTATGTATTTACTTATCTATTCATTTATCTTATTTTTGTTGGTATATCTTCAATATAAAAATGAACATTATCCATGTCATTTTTCTTCTTCTTCTTTTCTCCTTTTCCCTTTTCCTCCTCTTCCTCCTCATCCTCCTTTTCCTCTTCCTTTTCCTCCTCCCGCTTTCCTTCTCTTCCTCCTCCTCCTTCTCCTCTTTCCCTCTCAGTAGGCTTACCTTCTTATCAAATTATCCTCACTTCATATTCGCTTTCTTCGTTCTCACACGCACATTCTTCCCTCCTTCCTCCGCCGCTCTGGGCCGAAGTGTCATTTTCTTCGTTACGATAAAGAAAAAAATATATTTTAATTTCCTGCCCGGGTTCGTGTGTAACTCCTTCCCTTTCAGATAAGATTCGTTTATTTATGTGTCTTGGATTCTGTGCTGGATTCCTTTCGAGTTTATTTTCGTGTTGGTTATTTCGTTTTGTGTTTTGTCTGCTTCTTTCGTCACACACACATATACGTCACACACACACACACACACACACACACACACACACACACACACACACACACACACACACACACACACACACACACACACACACACATATATATATATATATATATATATATATATATATATGTATATATATATATATATGTTGTTGTGTGTGTGTGTGTGTGTGTGTGTGTGTGTGTGTGTGTGTGTGTGTGTGTGTGTGTGTGTGTGTGTGTGTTTAAATCTCTGCCTTCAAATATATTCCTTCAATATGTATACCAAATAATTTCATTTTATGCTTCTCATTTTTCCTGGCGCAGCAACAGCACAAACCTGTGATTGTGTGTGCTGTATGTAGTCCTATGTAATGTCTTTAAATCTCTACTTTCCCCCTTCCTACATCATACCAATAATGTCATTTTTATGCTTCTCTACTTTCCTTTTACCTGTTCCCTTCCAAATAAGCCTCTGAGTGTCCCTCAAGTCTCACCGTCTGCCCCATTTTCTCCCCCCTTCAAGACTAAAGTCCTCAAAACTTCAGTACTAAACTCAAGTTCTAATTCTGTTCCTTTCCCCCCTCTTCAATAGCCCCCCCCCTCCCCGGTGTCCTCAGGCAAATAATTATCTGCACCCCTTCACCTCTATTGTCCTAAGACTAACCGTCTGTCCTTCCCCCGTGTCCTCAAGTCTCACCGTCTGTCCCCTTTTCTCCCCCGTGTCTTCAAGACTAATCGTTGGTCCTCCCCCCTCCCCTGTGTCCTCAAGTCTCACCGTCTGTCCCCTTTTCTCCCCCGTGTCTTCAAGACTAATCGTTGGTCCCCCCCCCTGTGTCCTCAAGTCTCACCGTCTGTCCCCTTTTCTCCCCGTGTCTCAAGACTAATCGTTGGTCCTGTCCCCCTCCCCGTGTCCTCAAGTCTCACCGTCTCTCCCCTTTTCTCCCCCGTGTCCTCAAGACTAACCGTTTGTCCTTTTTCCCCCCTCTGTCCTCAAGTCTAAATATTTGTTCCTTCTCCCACCCTTCCCTCTGTGTCCTCAGTACTAACTGTCTGTCCCTTTTCCCCCCGTGTCCTCAAGTCTAATTACCTGTCCTTTTCCCCCCGTGTCCTCAAGTCTCACCGCCTCTCTTTCCCCCCTTTGTCCTCCAGATCCGGACCGAGGGCGAGTCTCCGTCGGCGCCCCCGATAGACGTGCGGAGTGACGCCGTCTCGCCCACGAGCATCCGCGTGGTGTGGGAACCCCCGCCCACGCACACCCACCACGGCGACCTCCTGGGTTATCACGTGGGCATCCGGCGGCATGAGTAAGTGTGGGCGGGGTTTTGGAAGGACAGAGATGGGCGTAGCGTTAGTTGTGCTTTGGGAGTTATTAGTATTGTTATGGTGAGCGTTAGGGTAATAATGGTAGTACTTGTGGTTAGCTTTAGTGTTATCATTATTTTCATTCTTCTCTTGGTTAGTTACGTGTCGTTGTTGTTATTATCGTGGTCATTATCACTATGATTGTGACTGGTATTACTTTAATTGTAAGGATGTTTGTTTTAATTATTATGATTCATATATTTTTCCTATAAGCATACTTGGGTTTCTTGTTATTTTGTTCATCACTACATTTCTGTGTTCAGGTGTCTGCTTCTCATCTTTCACCTTCACCTCCTCCGCCTCCTCCTCCTTCGTCTTCTTCTTTTCTTCTTTCCCCTCCTTATTTTTTTCCTCTCCCTCCTCCTCCTTCTCTTTCTTCTTCATCTTTTTCTTCTTACGTTTTTTCTTCTCTTCCTCCTCTTTCCCTTCATCTGCATTTCCTCCTCCTTGTTTCATCTTTTTCCTCTGTTCCCTCATTTACCTTCTCCTTCTTTTCATTTTCTTCCTCCACTTCCTGTACCTTGTATAAATACTTCTTTTCCTTTTCCCTTTCCTTCTCACTTTTCTTTTTCTTTTCTTCTCATCTTTCGCTTCCCTTCATCTTTTTTTTTCCTTTTTTCTGTAGTTATTCCATCTCTTTCCACATTATGGTGGTTCTGAGCTTTATTTTACACGGACGCCTAACACAGAATGCGAAATGATATGTGTATGTTGATTTATGCAGGGTGTGCCTTTTCACAGCGACATATGCTTATTTGTACATAACCATGTGGCGAGTATGTTAAGCAGATGCACATTACTACTCTACATGTGGCACATATACTGTATTCATATGCGTACATTTACACAAGGATTTAACATCTAAACAGGCAAACGTCAACCAAAGTTGGAATTTACAGGCACGTGACTTCATCCTCAGTGAAATATTAATGTTGTCTAATTAGCGAGGATTCTAAAAAGCACAATGAAATATTCTAATTGCTTTAAGTGGACAGTTTTCTATGCATGTCTAACGCGCTCCAGTGGGCGAGGGGCGGGCTGCGTTCGGCCGAAAGGGAATCGCAGATGAGGCCTTTGGCGCCCGGCCCGTTCCGCCCGTTCCGCCCGTTTCCGCCCGTTCCGCCGTTCCGCCCGTTCCGCCCGTTTCGCGCGTCCGCCCGTTCC